AAGTTGACTAAATGAATGAATTTGTCATTTGTAAGTGGACTAAATGACTTGCAAACAATTTATTCAGTACATCAATACCTCTCAAAAACAATCTTATCAATATTCGTTATATAACCGCAATACTCTCTTTTCTCAATTACTTTTTTTCAGTCACTGGTATCAGGCCTGTTCATTTTTCACATGATATACACATTTGAATAATTATACTAACAACAAAGTTTAAGTTTACTTTTGGTTAGTTAAATCTCAATTGAAGTTTATTGAAATTTTATTAAATGCTTGGTACATATCGTAATTATAAGGTCCAAGACGTTTGAGATTATTAATATTATTTACCTAGTTTATTTATCAGTTCCAAGCCTTTGACATATTACGGATACAGTCATAAAAGCAAGGCACGTTGACAATTGTACATTTAAACTATACAAGCATTGTTTTCTTTCATTCTATAGTTTCAATATATATGTACCACGGGACATGTATTTACGGAAGGTCTCTCCTAGTTTCACACGTTCTCTATCTTTGAGGAATGCTTATATAAATGTTGATAGTTTAAAATTTCTCAAGCCTAAGCTTCTGTGGATATATGAAAGTTTATTGAGAAAATTTATCAAAATATTACTGCATCATCAATGAGATAGGACGTCAAGTAAAACCCATTTATGATGTTCAGGATTATATTAGTTCATAAATTTGATAAGAATTTCCAATAGATAACAGGACGAGAGGAAAATAACTTTGAATAGTATTTGATTTTTAATATTGGATAAAAATGGCACTTCCTCTTATAACGAAGCGACAAACGTAAGTACAAATATAATTACTGTGTCCTTGGAACGAACATTTGTTCACTGTTTAAATTACTTTTTAAAACATGATTTCTGTCATGAAGATAATTTAGTGTTATTCATGCTTTAAATATATGATGATTTGACAAAATGTCTTTCATTCATGTAATTTCAATTATCATTTTTTTCGTTTTGAAAACGTGACAAAATGGGGAGGAGATGCAATTTATTTCCTGAACAGAGACCATCTTCTAGAACTGCTATTGATTCTTCTAATATTTTTTTTGTATTTTTCGTCTCCTTCACTCAATATAATATGAAAGAAAATGAAATAATGCATTTTGACATTTGTGGGAATAAAACACGTCCTGTTCTGTTCTAATCTAGTGCTATCTTACTCCAAGTCAGTTTATCTTGCACCTTGGATATCGCAACATTAGCCAATTTTGTTTTTCTTTGCTTTGATTTGTATAGCAAAGGCCGTTAGAGTGAAACATAGAGTCAGATATTTTCCACATTTCATTGGTGCTGCCTCGCCTTTGGACTTGTGGGCTCGACAGGTACTGATTTCAAACACTGTATCAGTGTAGACAACCCCAGTGATATATTACTTGTAACATTGTAGTAAAAGACATATTTTTCATATTATTCAGTAAAATTTATTTTGAATCTATCTGTATCAGAGTTTTTTCCACGTCTTACGGTTTTTTCTCCCAGTACTTTAAAGTAGGTAAACTTGAATCTTTTAGGCAATATAGAAATAAGGAGATGCGGTATGATTTCCAATGAGACAACTATCCAGTAGACAAGTTCATAACTAAGGATGTATGTAACTTTTTTTTATTCAATAATTGTGTACTTTTATTCATATGCTTAATATATCATTTCCATATTTTTCAATCAATACTATATCAATAAATTAAGAACATACATTTAAAGATCAGCCCAGGTCATTACCGACCAAGCATTTCATGATGATCATACAGATACATTCAACACGTCATAACAAATCACTTATATAATTACATTTTATCAGATGTATCTTTATTTTGTAAATAAAGGTAATTGATTTAATTTGAGGATAATATTTCCATATTTAATGTTTTCAGTCATTATAGAATATTTCTTTACAAAATGAATCAAAATAAATCGTAACATTGAATATTATATTTCATAAAAAGATAATTTATTAATGTGTGTTTATGTAGGCCCGTGGTTTTTATGAAATTTTAGAACCATTCCTACACATTGTATGTAATTATAATCATCATGATCATACTGAATAGGCCTACCATTAACATATTAGAAACATGCCCCCTATTAATTCTTATTCGGAGCCTTACAGAAAAAAAGTAAAATCCGTTTTGTGCTTTGAACATAATGGTTTGCACCTTTAAGATAATTTTTTGAATTTCATAAAGATATTTTAGTCGCATAAATCCGAAAACTGCAAACCTTTAACGACACACAATAACACTTATATTTGGGGAAAATACAGTAACCCTCAATACAGTCAAACATGTTCTTTTAATATTCAGTTTATATATCCAGTATATACTAGTGACGTAGGGCTGCTCGAGGTTTACCGTTATCTCCAGTTTTTGTTTGAGTTCAAGTTGCTCAATTTTTAGTTTACTAAGTTGTTTTTTGCGTCGGTTGGTTGTCTGTTTTCTTTTTCTTTTGGCTTGTTGGTGTTTGATTTTAATTCCCCCCCCCCTTTCTACATTCTCTTACCTTTTATATGTTGTACATTCTTCGGTAATACATTGGGAAGGAGGAATATGGTTGCATAAGGTTGGACATTGTTTTATGCATAGTATATGTTTAGTGTAGATCCTTTTTGTGTGCTTACCGACGTGTCAAAAGTACCTAATTGGTTATTTATTGTTTTTCTTCAAAAAGGATGTATATAACCGATTTCTGTGTAAACGCCTCGTGTTTCTGGAAACTTCATCTGATTCAATCGTTGTCAAAATGTTTAACTTTAGTGTACTAGTATACGCGTATGTACAGTTTCATAATTTCTAAAAAAAATAATCTTCTATTAAAATAAATTATCTAAATCATATCTACCAAGCAGACGATGCGTTCGCGGACTGACGGTCTCGTTGGCCTATCCAACACATCCTTTTATCCATATTGTCATCAGAAAATACCAATTAATCTGTCAACTAAGGCCAAATATAGTTCAGATTATTATGTGTAGGGTTAACAAATTCTAATATTTTGTTGTGCTTTGAGTTAATCTTATTAATCAAGATTGTATTCTCATTTAACCCTGTCAGGTTTTTTTTTATCAGATTTGATTATCTGTTTCTCATATAATTGGTTATGTATTGATAATCGAAGGTCTTTCAATTAATCAAATGGTGAAGACATTCTAAAATGTTATTGTAAGATATCACATTTAATGTTTTTTTCTCTATTTTAACTATTGTGAAGCGTTTGATAACAGATGAGAATTGAAATACTAGACGACACGAAACTTAAAGTTGTGATTTGATACGATCTTTTTCTTAAGAACCATTGAAAACAATTAATGAAAGTAAGAAAATTAAATGAAATATGCTAACCCAGAAAGGAAACTGCCTGTCACTTGCAATCATTTTGATTGTTCCATTGTTGTTGTTTTTCTCTCTTTTCTGTAATTGTCGTTTTTGGGTCTTGTTTTGGGGTTTGACTATCATTCAAATAAAGGACTATACTGATGTACGGAAAGGTGTAAACTACAAAAAATATAAAAATCCTAAGTTGTGCATGAAGCTCACTTAAAACCTCTATTAAATCCGGAATATTTCTTTTGACTGATGATATTATTCCGTAGTTAAGAGTGGAAAAAAATACGTGCACTCGATGCCTTTTGAACTAAGACTTTTTAATGGATGATGAATCAAATAAGATAAAAGTAACTGTCTAATAACAAATCTGCCAGCCCGGACTATGAATAGACAACTAAAAGCTTAATCATGCTCCACAATTGTGCCATAGTTTCTACCTGCGTGAGCCTCTTCCGGCAACTTATTTTCTTCTTTGGAACATTTTCCGGACCATAGAGAAAGTGCTATTGATTTAACGAACTCCGGCAATCTCCTATTAATTATATCTTAATCAAGTTAGAAGTAAATAATTGTTGCAAAGTTGTCCGTGAAAGTCAATAGAGACAGTTTTTCACAAAATGGTGTCTACAAATACGATAAAATTAAATTGATGATACTTCATATACACTTGATTTAATATGAGAGTATTTAATCAGTTTGTGCAAACATTTAATTTGGTGATACAAAAGTAAATTTAATCAGTTCTAAAACTAAAACTTATGCTTTAAAAGGCAATTTAAAATATCAAGATATGGAGTTAACACATAGTCGATTACGGTAAGCTTTATCTTCTCAGTAAAAATAATAAAAACATATAAAACAACTGAAGAATATCATTTTCTGGAATTTTTAATGTCTCTCTATCTTGCTTACAAGCATATATATATATGCATATATACATTTTGTATTCCCAAAAGTCTCAATTTTCTGCGGATTTCTTATGCTTGTGACAATCGTCTATTCCATAAAGTCTCAACTTCTTACGGATTTTTTCATGCTTGGAACAATTGCTGATTCGTATATATAATGCTCAACTTTCAGCCCCATATATTTATTTCTGAATAAATATAGATTATTGATGTTATTTGCTTTACGACAGTTACAAATATTTCATTGAATTCAGGACGATGAATAGTTATAAATTAGCTTTGCGGTACATTTTGAATATCTATTCTGATATAAATTTTATTCTTAGTCGGCACGGAACAGACCTCGATTTTTTACCATTTTAGAAACCATATAAAAAAATAATAATATGTTTAGATAACGCAACCAGAATATGACTTCGTAATTGATTTAGCCTTTCAATGTTTTTATTCGAGCGTCGCTGATGAGTCTTTTGTAGAGGAGGCGAATGTCTGGCCTTCAATGTCATAAGCCTGGTGTCTTTGATGAGTTTTTGTTTCATGAAGGTTATTTCAGTGTCTAGCGTTTCTCTCTTTCAATCTATAGAAAGTTTTCTAATGACGATTTCACTACTTGGCTTTCTATAAGTAGTAATGGTTTCACTGTGATCAACTTAAAGAGAACAAACATTTTATTTTGCCATTTTGAAACTGGAAAGTAATTAAAGCTTTCGGTGAACTTTTAAAACGAGTCTATATATCTCTTTCAGACAAATGACCTACAATGCAGCTGAAGATAAAGGAAGTATGAATAATGGTTCAACGCCAAGAAATAAAGAGCGTCCCAACCTCGAAGAAAAATACTGGAGTACGGATATCGTCAAACAAGTGGAGACGTGGATGAAGAACCAAAGATTTTCAGAACAATATGCTCCAAGTTCTCAAAGGTCACAATATACACCACCAATTCAATCTGAACGAAGTCGAAAACGAAGACGAAAGCGACCGAGTCAAAAGGACGGTGAATCCGGAGGTGAATATACAGAAAGCATAAACTACACTGATTCTGAAATAGTAAGCACTGTGGAAAGTAAAGCAATACAAAGAAAACTTTTTGAAAAGGAAGACAAAAAGCTCATGAAAAACAACGGAGTTAAAGTTTATCCTTCAAAAGTCGATAATGGGTATGTAAACCGTGACAATATGTACAATAAAAGTTTTGAAAGACCAAATAAAAACTCAAGATTTGGTAGCATTCATGATGAAATTGAATTTCAAAAACGCTATAAACGAATATCCGATCTTCAAAACCATTTACAGTTTGTGAATGGAAGTTATTTATCAGGAAAGAATATATTAGTAGAACAAAAGAAACTTGCTCCCGTTACAGATTTTAGTAGAAGATTTAAACAACTTAACCCATCAGAAATGTTTGCAATATCACCCCTTGAACATTTAAACATCAAAACAAAATCAAAGCCGAAACATTATCTTCAAGCAACACAAGTGACACATAACAGTAGATATAAATCAAAGAAAAAGACATTTCCATGGCAGAAATTTCAAAAACTTCCGGATATTTCGCCTGACCATAAGCCGCCTAAGAAAGCATTAAGTGAAAGCGATGTAAAATTGGGAGATGAAATTGACCGAGATACGGCAAGGTCTGGTTATATTAGTAGCTTACTGAGTCAGGATGATACCAGAGACGAACGTGTTAAATCTGTTGTCACAGATAGTTCCTATGGACCTTATCAGGAAATGAAAGTCACTATTCATATTCGATACAAAAACCAAAAATCCTCTCCGGAAGTCAAAAGCGAGGATGAATATGTCAGTGAAACTAGTTCTGTCCAATCTTCTGAAGACAATACGTCTCGAGCATATGATGGACGATTGAATTCAAATAACCAAGAAAAAACAACTAGTCGAGAAAACAAAATTACATCTCTACTATCACAGAATGATCAGAATTTGGTGCATAGTACAAATTTTCGTGGTTTGTCAAGAACTAGCAATATGTCGAAATCAAGTAAAGAAAACTATAAAAACTATGAAGGTGGGACTCTTTCCTCATTAGTTATATCCGATCCCGTTTCTAAAATGCCGAGACATAATGCTGGCAAAATAAGGGAATGATATGCAATCACATTGTTATACATAAAAAATGTTACATGTTGATGTGTTTTTGTTTTTTAAATTATTCATAGAAAACATAAATTTCTTAATCTTTTTTAAACGTTAATCTGTACCAAGGATTTGTGCAGTATACACATCCTTGTCGTCTGTGCATATACATATTTAGTTTTATAATAACTTGAACTAAGCAGTAGTACCTTTTAATTATGATTTTTTTGAATTTTCATGTCCTTTTTTGACATATTAGAAACCTGCAGCCAGCCTGTCTAATAATTAATAAAAAAAAAAATTGTAAACAATATGGATAAGATTTTCAGACTTACTTGGTACAACTACTAAGATGTGGCAGGTTTGGTTAGTTCAACCTCGCCACTCTACACAATACAATAACATACAGTATATGAAGCTTTCAACAAAATGACCAATAACTTGAACAAAGATACAAGAGGCAACACAAGGTTTAGAATAAACTCATCATAGATATCAGGATGGAAATTTTGTACGCCAGACGCGCGTGTCTTCTAAAAAGACTCATCAGTGACGCTCAAATCAAAAAAGTTAAAAAGGCCAAACAAAGTACGAAGTCGATGAACATTGAGGACCTAAAATTCCTAAAAGTTTTGCCAAATATAGCTAAGGTAATCTAGGGTAGAAATCATTAGTATTTCGAAAAATTCAAAGTTTTGTAAACAGTAAATTTATAACTATGACCATATTAATGATAATTCATGTCAACAGAAGAAAGGGTTAAATTTGCTTTCATCTATTATGAAGTTATACAGTTTATTGAACCAACAACTATGGCTACCAAAGCTGATAGCTATCACAGATGCTAGTTCAATACTCTGCAAAACGGAGAGAGAAATAAGAGAAAACTTCGTCAAATTTCTCTGGACATAAAATACAAAATAAGTTGAAGGAAGCTGAGAAAAGGGCAACATCATTATTCAAATGAAGAATTGACAGACTTAGATGAAAGCAAGATAAAATCACCAGATGTCATTATAAAAGGTAGTGATATCGCATGCTTTCAAGGGCATGCTGGAATCAACCATTGTTATGTCCAGCGTTATGGAATAAGGTCACAGTTATGATTAATGTTATGTAAATATATTTTGTTTACTCTTAGAACAGTATTCAAGCTTGTGATGATTTAAAAAGGCATTATTTCACTATAATGGTCTGAAAGCTCTCATCCAGTTTTCCACCAGTTTTAGTGTATTTAATATTTATTATTCACAACGACCAATGTAAAGCGTAAAAGCTCTAAACGTATGTGTAATTTTGTTGGCACTTAATACTGTAGTCGCTTAAAAAAGAGGCATAAAGACCTAAAGTACACTGTATGTTTAGTTTATTGTCTGACATATAAGAATTCAACGTATATAAGTCGCTGCATGTTACACTGCTTTTGGGGAAGGTCAATTGTCTTGTCACAGATCTTGAATTTTGGAAATTCTTTTCATCCAGTCATGATAAGAAGCAGGTCTTTTCAACATGTGTTTATGTAGACGAAATGCTCGTATAGCGTACACAATTATAAGCCTGATATCTTTGATAAACTTTAAAAACTACTTGGTCGATACCATTACTGGTGGACGTTTTGTCGCCGAGGGTATCACCATCCCAGTAGTCAGCACATTTGTGTTGGCACGAAACATAATTGATATGTTCGTTTTCTATAAATTTACTGTATATACAATGTTGAATTATTCGAAACACTAAGGTCTTTATTACCCAAGTTATAGATTGCCTTGGCGGTATTTGACACAACTTTTCGGAATTATCGATATTTAAAGCCTTACAACTTCGTATACGATTTGGCCTATTAACTGTCTTAATTCGAGGGTCGTATGTAGACGAAACGCGTGTCTGGGGTACAAATTTATAAGCCTGGTATCTTTGAGGAGTTTTTTGTGTATATGATATCCTTCATTGTCTAGTTTTTATATAGATCAATGACAATGCCTAAGAGCTTGTCTTCAATACTTGCTGTAGTTATAAACAAGTTTCTTTTCATATAATACTTTAATAGCCACAATGGATGCAATCATCATCAGGTTTTTTAAGATTGTAAATGTAACAGAAGGCTTTTTGCTTCGTGAGCTTGTACATGTCATTGTTATTTCTTTCTTGTACAGATTAGTAAAATCAATAAAATAAAATGCATTCATCGATACTTTATTACAAACAAAATCTGTTATCATACACATTTTCAACTAAGGATACGTTCTTGAAATTCTTTTAAAATGTTTTCAAAGAAGCTGATTGATGATGTTTATTGTCTAGTGGCAAAATGTGTATATGGAGGATGATTGTGTGTTGATTTAGTATGAAAATAGCCTGCTCTGTACTTTGACTCGCTGAGTCGGATATTTACCGTGGTAGCTCAAAGCAAATAAACATTTCAAGGAAGACATCATCCTACCAAGACACATAATTCTAACTCTCAGTCAACCAGTCTTTACTCTAATTTCAAAACGCAATGTATTAGGCAGAGAAGCAGCAAATATCACTTTGAAAGTCATTGGTTTGACCAGTCAAACACACGTCCTGCTTATTTGAGTCACGCGCGCAACCACTAGATCAGCGATGCGAATTATCCCTAGACAGGAAAAAGACTGTTTGAGTAAAACGACAACACCATCTTCTGAAAAAAAGTTTTTGTCAAATACCATCCTTAAAGAAACTTTTATAAATTGATTTTAAATCATTAATCACTTTGTTTTAAAGAATGTTTCACGGTAAATTTTAATCTGGCTGTCGACCTTGTGAATTTTTAATGCAACAGTGTAGTCTATGCATAATTATTTTTGAATAATACTCATGTGGAGTTCTACGCTTTGCTTCTTTTAATTTATTGACCGAATCAGAAAAATCAGCATTGTGTAACACTCACAAAAACTGTGTTGAGAATAAAGTAATGTAGCGTGTCCATTTTATAGCGTTTTCTGATGACTATAATATGATTGTTATTTGGTAGCGTATCTATGTAAAATCCATATAGAATACAAACAACTAACACAATATTTAGTTCTAATGTTATAACTATTTTATAACTTCCAACTAGTATAACATTGTTTACATATTAATATACGTTCACGCACATTCGTAAATAAAAGAACATGTTCTTACTACATCTAGTTTTAACACCAACTCTAATGTATCTCTTTACTACCAAAAAACTATATCTCTCACACCCTCTGGTAAACTCTCCTCTTGACGATGCCGCGTCGGTTCCAATTAATAAAATGTCTCTTAGAAGACTATACGGGCAGTGTCTATACACCACACACACACATATTTTAACAAACACTAAAAGCGATTATTCCAAAACTCTTATAGAATTGCTAAAATCGCCCCGTCTAGCACTTGAAATTCCAATTCCAAAATGTTACTAATTGAATACGGTGATTATTGATTTGTTCTTTAATTTTACAGGCTTTACTTCATTCTTCTTTCCAATTCGATTGCCATTTCCATCTTAACACTTGATTTTGTAAGTGTGTAGCTATTGATGATTGAATTGCCTGTAATACGCAACTAAACCTAAAGATGATGCAAGTTCCTTTACATTTTGCGGAGGTGCCATCTTCGCAACTGCTTCAACTTTCTTTGAATCAGTTCGTATACCTTCTCTTGAAACTCTATGTCCACCATGACGAAGTTTTAATTGATTGATCGATTGATTAGTGTTTGACGCCACCTTCAGCACTTTTGTGCTTTTTCGTGGGGTCAGTTTGTATTGGTGGAAGAAGCCGGAGTGTCCGGAGAAAACCACCGAACTTCGGCATGAAAACTGACAATCCTAGTCAATTAAGATTGGAGTTTTAAGTCTGTCCATAATTTTACAAAGGTTTAAAAGATGTTCATCAAATGATTTCCAATACACAATAATATCATCAAGATAAGAAGCCCGCTAACTGTTGATTCAATTATTTGTTTGGAGCGTTGATGCCGTATTACATAGTCCGAATTGTATTGATGTATACTGATAAAGTCCACCGTTTGAGGTTGAAAACGCAGTCTTTTCTTTTTAAGAAGGTTTCATTTATATTTGATGATAAGCCATATCCAAGTCCAGTGATGAATACTACTGAGATACACACAAAGAATCCAAGTTATCTTCAATCCTCTGTATCGAATACGCATCTGTTATGGTCTTTTCATTTAATTTCCGGTAATCCATACATAGTTGCCATGATGAGTGGTTTTCCTGTACCAAGACAATTGGAGCGGACCATTGACAACAGGATTTTTCTATGATACTTTTCTTCTTTAAATTGTCTATTTCATTTTTCAAAATTTGTCTCTTGAACAATGGTACACTTATCGGTGGTTCTTTGATTTCTGTTACATCATGTAGTTTTATAAAATGCGTCTCCAACAATGTTTCTCCAGGTTTTTCATTAGGTTATGCAAATACCTCTTGGTCATGCATTAACACGTTTCAAAATTGATCTGCCATTTGTTTGGGTTGATAACTTCTTTCAATCTAGAAGCATCCTCTTCATATATTGAGGTTACTGTGCCTTGTATCTCTTCTCGTCAATATGACATAGATCAACATTACCAATCTCTACCTCAACATTGTCACAGATATTCATAATTGGAACAAACATGTACACAATGACATCTGTATTAGTTGCATTAATAATAATCTGGCATAAATTATTCCCTTAGATGTATTCACAAGAACTCTTGCTAGTACTAGTCTATTATTGTCCATAAACTTCTTTCAGAAAACAGGACACCATAAGTATTCAACAATGTATCTCCTACCTTTCTTGTCAGTCTCGATTTTACTGCTACTTCATGTTTAGCAGGTACCATTATTTTTTCTTAAGTCTAAATCAATCACTCTGCTTGATCGAGTGTTTACATTGTTTTCCTGAAATGATATATTCTTGCCATTATTTCAAAAGAAGAAGTATAACGACAACACTTTATAATGTTTCTCCTTACAAATTTGATTTCACCTTTCCAAGATGTAAAGGAAAAAGTCATAACTGTAGTTCCTAACACATTTAAACTACTTCCGTTTGCGGTTTCGATTTTTTGTTTCCATTGAGTGT